GGACTATCTCTGACTTAAGCTTGGAATACAGTTAATCTCCCACCCTGAGGTGGGGCTGAGTCAGAGCAGCTTACCCAGCTTCTCCCCTGAGAAATGCACAGCCAACTTTACTTTTCTATGGAATCTGCTTTTTTCTTAGGAATTACTGTGGTTTCAACAAGTTCTCTAAAGCCCTGCAGTCTTACCTGGCCAAATGCCAGGGCAAACATAAACACATACATGGTGATGTTTCAAGGTATTTAAAAATAATGAATTATATTTCATATAGCATATGCTTTTGCCCATATGTTCATCAATATATCGTCTCATTAGATGCGGGGAACTCTCCCATGTTATAGAGAAGTAACTTAAGTTCAGGACAGTTACACGACTTGCCTATAGTCGCACAGATAGCTGGTCAGAAAGAAGGACTAGAACTCAGGTTCATGTTCCATGCCACTTCATTTACATTTTTTAAATTGACAAGCAGTAATTTACATACTTATGGGGTACGGAGTGATATTTTGAGCCATTTCACTTCATTTCACTCCTTCTTAAAAGGCTTGGATGTTCTCAATCCATTTCTCTTTATTTTTATGCCCTTGTCCTAGCAGTATCCTGCCCAATTCATACCAACTTTTGAAGGAACATGCCCTGCCCAAAGTCCTTGGTAAACGGGCTTGGATATATTTTGAAAACATTGCATCCTACCCATAGATTAGACCAAGAACACCCAAGCCATAGGCTTGTGTTCTAGTGAGAGGTAGAGAGACAGAGGTAGAGGTAGAGATAGAGATAGAGAGTGAGACAGAAAGATACACAGAGGAAAGTATAGTCCGATCAGACTCTTTCTTAGGAATTTGATGAACCACAGACAGAGCCGACCATCAGCTGAGAAAGCTGAGATGAAAAACCATCTATAGAAAGGGCTCTGAGTGGACATTGATGGGTTCTGTAAAGATAAAGTGGGGCCAAGTGAGTAGATAAGCAGAAAATAGGGGAGAATGAAGCAGACTGACAGAGAGAAGCAAAGAAAGTACAAGAGAAGGAGGTAAGTGACAGACCTAGACTCGCCAGACTTGGCCGCGTCTTCGTTTTCTGTCCCTGAATCCCCTGCAACTGCCTCACTGTATACAACTGTTGGCTTGGGTTAGCTTGAGTGGGTCTTGTTTCTGGACACCAAAAGCCTTATCCCAAACAGTTCTGTATGACAGATGTGGAGGCTTAGCCTAAAACTATGGCCATGTGGATGGAATCCAGGTAACCTGGATGGCAAGGCTGTAAGCCTTGTCTTTGTTNATGGCCATGTGGATGGAATCCAGGTAACCTGGATGGCAAGGCTGTAAGCCTTGTCTTTGTTTTCATGCCCTGCCTGTTACACACCCGGGAGCTTATTTTTGCCAGTGCGCTGGAAGGATCAAAATCACAATCTTTTGAAGTTATACCTTCCCTATTAAGTGGGAAATCTCTTCAACACCGAGTAGCTTTTGTTCTGATTGAACATACCTGATGATGTTCCAGCTGCATCTCGTTCTGTTTGATGATATTCTCTTTTTCCAGTAGCTCTTTCTGCTGCCTCTCAAACTCCTCCTTACCCTATTATTTTTCAACATAGAGAACACATTGTGTTATCACTGTGATTCACTAGCTAACAATTTCATCGACAAACACATAAATACCCTCTCATTTGCCACTGCCTAGGCAATTGCCCGCATGCCCAATTAGGCCCTGTGAACCCCAGACGGGGATGACATGTTTCTCGGCCAGACTTCCAGAATCACTGCGTGGGCTGAGGCTGAAAACTAAAGCCCGTTTCCATGTGGTGTGTCTCTGCTCCACCTTACCTTTTTTGGAGAGCTACCCATGATCTCCTTGAAATAGGTACTATTTCTCAGGGTTCTTTTCTTTTCTTTTCTTTTCTTCCTTTTTTTTTTTTTTTT